GTCAGCCATCTCTGGACAGGGAGGACGACTCACCGGCCCATACCGCAAAGGACGAAGCCGATCTGCTAGGCTTTTTCTTTGCGTCCAATTCGACTCTCGATGACGGGGGAGTACGCCTCCGACCATCCCGCAGTGTGAGTGCTCCATGCCGGAAGTGGAGTTCACACAGCGCTCGGTTCACAAAGCACTCCTCTCCCTGGACATCACCTCCTTATTCTCCAAAATAATGGAATCTAATGTTAACTGCCAGCTCATGAGGTAGCTTGAGGATCACCAGCTGATTAGTGATCGCCAATACGGTTTTCGCCGTGGTCGGTCAGCTAGTGATCTTCTGGTCTACCTAACTCACAGATGGGCGGACGCAGTACAGTCCAAGGGGGAGGCATTGGCCGTTAATTTGTACATTGCGAAGACCTTCGATCGGGTTTGACACAAAGCGCTTCTTTCGAAGCTCCCTTCCTATGGGCTTCCCGAGAAATTGTGCAATTGGATCACCAGCTTTCTTGCAGATCGGAGCAACAAGGTCGTTATAGACGGCGCAAGCTCCGATTACATGCCTATTAATGCTGGTGTTCCACAAGGCTGCATGCTATTGCCAACGCTGTTTCTTCTGCATATCAATGATATGTTGCAAACCCGTTACATTCATTGCTATGCAGATGACAGCACTGGTGATGCTCTGTACACCGGCCGTGGCAATATTTCTCGGAAAAACCTCTCCGAGTACCGGGACAAACTTGTGTCTGAAGTCGAGTCTTTGCTAAACTGAAGTCTCGGATTGGGGGCGACTAAATCTAGTCCAGTTTAACCCCCAGAAGACACAAGTTTGCGCGTTAAGCGCTAAAAAGACCCCTTTGTCGTATCTCCTCAGTTTCAATGCACTTCCCTTGTTGCCTCAGCCAGTATCGGAATCTTCGGCGTCGACATATCGAGTGACGTGCAGTTTCGTGGTTACTTGGAAGAGAAGGCCAAATTAGCCTCTAAAAAGCTTGGCGTGCTCAGCAGAGCGGGACAGTATTTCATGCCGGCACACAGCCTGCAACTTCACAAGGCGCAGGTTCGGCCGCTCATGGAATACTTCCCATCTTTGGGCTGGGGCTCCCCAGTACCAGCTCCTTCCACTTGACCGCATCCAGCGCAGAGCGGCTCGAATCGTCGACGACCGAGTGCTTTCCGATCGGCTCGATTCACTGGCGCTGCGAAGAGATGTTGCATCTCTGCATTTTCTTTCGCATATACCATGGGGAGTACTCTGAGGAATTGTTCGGATTAATCCCAGCCGCCAAATTTCGTGAACGAACTACGCGGCAAACATCCCGATACCATCCATACCATCTGAATGCTTGGCGGTCCACCACTGTACGTTTCAAAAGGAGTTTTCTTCCGCGTACAACCTCTCTGTGGAATAGTTTACCACCGGCGATTTTTCCGGACCGATACGACCTGGGGACCGTCAAGAAAAAAGCTTACTCCTCAGTGGCGAAGCTAGGGCTCCAAACTGGGGCAAGCCCAAGATATGGTTTTGTTTTTTTTAGCAGTTTTAAAAATACATAAATCTTGATCTGTCTCCACTCTTCAGTTTCATATTCAGTTCTGTCGAGGACGTGTTTAGCAAAGCACACAGAAGGCATACTACCGCTAGATAGGTTGTATGACCGTAGAATTTTCGTTCGATAAAATGACTTCACCTATAGAATTAAGTAGATGGCGCTATAAAAATTTTATATACTGAAGACTAAAGGAAATATTTTTTAAAAACCTCAATACATGATGTATTCATTTAATTTATTAAATTTAAATTTGGGCTTCAGATTAAAACATAATTGTAACAATTATTTGCTATTAAATTAAACTTATACCTGGGTATCTCATATTTTATGCTGCAGTTCAAAATGATATTTTAACTCATATGGGAATATAAGTATTGAGTTATTAAACCTTTAAATACGCCTAGAATAATTAAACTTTAATACTAAAGAACCCTGTACCTACTAAAGTGTGAAGAAATGTTTATTGAATTAAAAATTTTTTTAAAGATTTTACTTTTCCTCGCTGATTAGCACTTTAACATACTTAATATTCATCACAAAGAACACTCTTTTCCTGCATTTTCACTAAAAATCTTTAAAAAAGTATAAATTTTCAACTAACAATATTTGTCATTATAATATATTCGCTCAAGCTAACACACAATGTAAACATTGAAATGTGACGTGAACTTGCAAACATATCGTCGGCGTCGCCCGCGCGCCTCCTTGTCTCGAATAACTTCATACCTAACGTGACCATACGTCCCCCTTTAGGCAGGACGTTCCCGATTTAAAGGTTTGTGTCGCGCTGTCCCCAAAATGCGTAAAAATGTCCCTCTTTGACAAACAAAAGCGTAACAATCATGCAAACTCTGTCACCCGTGCCATCATTGTGACACCGCGCGTACCAGGTTTGCCAGCATGGCTTGTATAGTTACGTGATTATTCTAAAAGCTACACTTTTGAATTTAAAGTTACGAAGTGACAATTTTTAATTAATCTACAATAAATTATCAAATAACATAAGTTATTTCCAATTAGTATTTATTTGATGTTCAGAATTCACTTTAGATCATTAAAAGATTCAAACAACTATGTTTTTCATTTATAAACCTATATTAAAGGGCTTCAGATTGAATTTTGGTAACAAGGTCTTTCTAAACGGAAAATAGCCATCAGTGTAATAGTACTGCTACTGAGAATTTTGTGACAGAAAATCCCAATAAATGATTCTTGACCCGACTAGGTAGGTAGGACATGATCAGCAATTACGTTTACGACCATTAGACCAAGAAGGCAGTCAAAAGTGTTAAAACTATAATAATTTTAAAGGCGTCCCGCTCTGAGGAAAAAATTGATGGTGACTAAAAAGCCGGACTTTTTATCTCCATACTAATTGCTATTTATACAATCGTAGTTATGTTTCATTATAGAACATTTTGCCACAGGTTAGAAAGGGAGCGATCGCCTTCTCGAAAGCCCGGTAAAAAGCCCACATGTGCGAGGGAGACAACCAATGGTTCAATTCAACTCTCCTTATATGTATGACAGCAGTATTATTAAGGTCGAACAGAGTGCACGGGAAATCTGAAATAGTTTGAAACAGTTTACGAGTTATTTTATTACTTGATATAATTGATTGATTCATCTTAATGAGGCAAGCCGGGCTTCTGGGCTTGTATAGAGGCTTCGCCACTGTTACTCCTTTCTAAAGGGCCAGCAACGCACCTGCAATTCCCATGGTGTTGCGGTTGATCATGGGCGGCGGTAGTCACTTAACATCAGATGAGCCGCATGCTCGTTTACACCCTCTTCTATAAAAAAAACATCACCCACATTCGATTTGCCGACGATATAGTCCTCATGGTTTTGGCAAATCGCTGGAAGACCTAAGCACTATGCTCAATGACCTCAATGGTGTCTCCCAACGGATAGGTCTTAAGATAAAAATGGACAAAACAAAGATTATGTTTAATATCCATGTCACACTTTTGCCGGTAGTTGTTGGGATCAGTAAGCTCAAATTTGTTGACGAGTACGTTTACCTGGGACAAATCGTCCGATTGGGTAAGTCCAACTTCGACCGAGAGGTCACTCACTTCACTGCTGGCCGTATGAGGACTCTCAAGGTCGCTCAGCGAGCTATGGAGAGGGCTATGCTCGGGGTTTCTCTGCGTCATAAACATAGAAATGAGGATATCCGCAGTAGAACCAGAGTGACCGACGTAGCCCAACGGATTAGTAAGCTGAAGTGGCAATGGGACGGCCATATAGCTCGAAGAGCCGATAACAGATGGGGAAGAAAGGTTCTCGAGTGGCAGTCTCGTACCGGTAGGCGCAGTGTAAGACGACCACCACTAGATGGAGTGACGACCTGGTAAGACATACGGGAAGTTTTTTTTGTATGCTTTGCTGTTTCCCTCTGACATGGGGGTCAGAGACGTTGTGAGCTCGGCACGGACTTTGAATTTTTGTTTTTATTGCCTTTGTCTTTGATATTATAAGGGGTGTGGAGGACTCCGGGTTTTCGCACGGGAGTCCTGCTACTCATAAAGTAATACATGCAACATCTGACACTTAATTGCAAAGTCGTTTTATATCTTTTGTCACTTAATCAATTTCTCAATTTTATTGTTATTATTTATAATCACATTTTATTCGGTGCATTCTCTCTGTCTATACGCAGTATATGTAGGCACAAGGAAGCACCGATTTTATAGGTACACAAAGCTTTCTTGCATCACTCATGAAAGTACCGTAGCATAATTATTAATTGTTTTATAGAATTAATTCAAATTTAATATTTCCAATAATATAATTTGTTTTAATACAATGCTTATATTTAACCATTTTTATTTTGACCTTGATACTTTTTTATGACTTTTTAGCAATGCCCTCACACATACAATTAGAAAATAAATATTTACTTAAAGATTTAATTTTTTTTGTCGAGTTTTCTGAAGTAATTTCTATACGTTTGAATAATAATTTTGACAACACACTTAAAAGGAACCACAGGGTTTATGTATATGATTGATATAATATTATCTAGATATATTAGTCAAGGGCACCGTTTTAACAATTTCACTATCCCTTGAGTTACATAAGATATCTACCTAAGTATGAAGTATGTATATCTATATTCATTTCGATTGTTTAACAATTGTGTCATTTTCGCGGACAGGGCAATTGTTAAAGATAAAAACAAAGTATCTTTTATAAATAACGTTTTTGGATACAATTTAAACTTTATTTTTTGTTTTATAAATGTTTTAACAATAAAATATACATACATGCGCGATACGAGATGATAAAAAAATCAATAGAAATAATCATGCGCGTCGCAAATGTGTACAAGTACTAACTACACAGTGAAGTAATATTTGGAATTTTCACTAGATATTATGCCTAGTGACACAAAGAACACAAATGTTCGTTAGAAACAAGAAATGTAAAATATCCCACAAAATGATGATACGTTTAAATAATTTTTTGTACGTTTTCAATTTACGTCAGGGCACAATTCTCATTGCCGTCCATCAAATCGTAAGTACAAAAACTGTGATGATATATTAAGTTATGAATTATTCCAAATATGTTAAAGTACCTAGACCATCTTTCCATTGAATACTTTCAGGCGTTGTCATCTTTTATTTTAATAATACTATTAGTTGGCATTTCTCATGTGGGCGAAATGCTATCAATGCTTCATAATGACATGGAAGATGATGCTGAAAGACGAGGATTTTACGAAGTAGCTTACGGCGACCAGTTAACATTCCACGAAGGAAGTGTGGTTAGCACTAATAATCAGCGAAGGTTCGCTAAGGCTCAACATCTTGCTTCAGGTATAATTGTGTTAATATTTAGTGTATAGGTATAAACATCGAATTTTAAGGCTTATATATAGAATAAACATATTTCTGAAAACTACTACAACACTACCCATTTATGATATAAATGAAAAAAAATGCCTGTCAATTGTTAGATAACCAACCAGTGTCGACCAAAAGGTCAACCCAACGAATTTAACTCGGCTGGGCTGCGTTCGGGAAAGTGCGCAAATCTCCGTCAGATATTCATCAGAATCTTAAGACGGAAGACGGACGGAAGACAACCAGTGCGTGTTGCCAGTGATGACAATTTTTTTTACAGAATAAAGGCGACAAACGAGCACACACTCCACCTGATGGTAAGTGGATGCTGTAGCTCATAGGCATTTACATTTAACTTCAATTAAGTATCAATATGCAGATGCGTTGTCACCCCTGAGGACTAAGATGGAATGCCTCGTTACCAGTAAAAAGGGTCTCCGGTTCTCTACACTCACCATACGAAACACAGCAGCATTAAGCTGCTATTTCACGCTGGTATTCTGTGAGAGCGTAGTCCTACCCCGGTCGAGCCGACCCATTCGTGCTGCAACCACAATATAGCTGCAGCATGGCTCTACCACGTAAAAATTACGGAACTAAACTTTGTCCTTCACATCTGGCCGTACGAGCAAACTCAAAGTCACTCAGTAACAACGACATTTGCAGACGCACAAGAGTAAATGACATAGCCAAGCGGATCAGTTAGCTAAAATACCAATGGGCCGGCCATATAGTTCAAAGAACCGACAACCGATGTGCTAGAAAGGTTCTAAAGCGGCAGCCTCGTACCGGAAAGCTCAGTGTTGTGCGACCCACCACTAGACGGAGACTTGACCACCTGATGAAACACGCAGATAGTCAATCAATGCATGTTGCTCAGGACTCAGCATTGGACTTGTGATGGGCTGCAAGTGATAGTGATGATTGTATTTATTTTTGCCGTGTAGTGACGACGCACGATAATCCACTCCCCATATCGTCCCGTGGATATCGTAACAGGTGACCGGCGGAAACTGAAACAGGTGCTGGAAAGCATCTTCCTGATAACAACTCAAAACTATATAAAACTACGAATACCAACACCCCTCTCAGGAAAATATATTCTAGAGGCAATATATGGGGACACCCACTACAGTCCTTCGTTTCCTGATTGTTATAGGTTACGCTTACATTAAGGACATTATATGGAAATAATAATGTTCTCCAGACCGAATTTCGGCCACAGCGGCCAGGCTCAACGGAGACATAGGACAGGATTATAGTCAATGATTTCAAAAGGAAGGATAGGCCCATCTAAATATTTTACTCATAACTTTTTCATACAAGTAATAGTAGCGCATCTGTCATAATACAAACGTCATATCAAAACACGACGTAACCAGGGTCGGATTTCGTAGTATAATTATCCTAATTATACCATTATTTCATAGTTTGTAGTATATAGTATCGTCATAATACTAAGTGAATATACCAACTTTACCTAAAGGTATTATTTTAATATTAACCCTACCTTCGAGAATTTCTGTATTGTACATGAGTACCGCGTTTTTTTAATAAAAATTAGAATTAGCTCCCTTTCTGGTCACTCGATGCTTGATCGATGCATTTATGTTGCATCCTTGATGCAAGGGCTACCACGATAAAAACTCTATGCTCCAGAAGCAATCGGCTTAAAAACAGAATTTCAAAATATTTTATGAATCAGATTTTCAGATTCAATTAAGTAGATATGGTTTCTATTGTACTCTTTTCGTTTTACTCTCATTGAATATAAAATATATTAGGTACCAATATTCAAAATTTAACTTACACATAGTTCTTTAGACAATAATTAAACAGAAATAAAAATAAAACCGTCAAAAAACTAAATGTATATAGATAAACTTAACGCGTGACGCCAAAATCCCGGCACATGGGAAAAAAGAAACATGAAACGTGATATAATTTTTTTAAGATAGTATAATTTTATTTTCCATGTACAATATTTTTGAGGGTCTGAATCCAACCCTGGCCTAATCTTGGTAACGTAACGAATCTAACTGTAAAATAAAACTTTAAAAATGCGTTTATGTAATAATTTAATTGTAACAAAATTAATATAAGGTTATTTACCGATGATACGATATCCCATGTTTTTTTTTTAATTTTTGTATAGTAATTTTTGTATTCTTTTACCACGCAACTAGACATATTTATGACAGGCAAATCTGTCCTGCGCAAGCACCGCTGTCGACCGATTCGTGTTGGCCCTAAACTGTAATTTTAGGGCCAGCGCACTGGTCCGTTTTAGTTGTTCGGTCGGCCCGGTCCTTACGCTAGTAATATATAAGTCAATGATTATAGTGCACAAGTGTATGTGTAAGCACAGGTGCACTCCCTATTCCCTTAATCTTATGGTCCAACAGGAAGTTAAACCAACACAACCGGAGAGAGATCAGACGTAGGACCAGCGGTTTTACGTGCTTTCCGAGGAGACACCGCCAACTTCCTGACTCCGGGCAGCTACTGAGAATTTCTTAATGGAAAAACTCAAGAACTGATATGGAAATAATATTAATTATGCATTCTATACGATGTATAAAAATTAGAGTCGACTCTCCACTCGGGTTCTTCATAATCATTACAGCCCTTTACAAGTCCACTGCTGAACATAAGCCAAAAAGAACAAGGAATGCCACAAAGCACGGTCCTGAGCCACCTGCATCCATCGACTTCCTGCATGTCTTACCAGATCTTCACTCTATCTAGTGGGGGACGCCCTACACTCGAGTTTTTAATTTTCAATAATTGTTTTCAGTTACAGTGATATTCTTGTACACAAGCACTATCCTGACTTCGTTATACTTAATGTGTTGTATCTCCTTACTTCACGGAGCCGTAAAGTACAAACGTGAATACATATTGCCCTGGATAATGGCAGCATGTATTGGAGTTATACTGTTAATCATCGCTATTATTATTGGAGACGGATATCCGTGTGTCGTGAACCTTTTCGGAGGCCACAATTTGTACCGTTAGTACCTTATTTTATATATAGTATTTATAAATTTACATACACGTTCTTAATTATCATTCAAATACTATTTTAAAATGACAATTCCTGAGTTCGAATTCCAGCCGAAGCCACAACTAGGCTCGTGCTGCGAGAGCCGGGGCGTCCCGTTTTTAGAGCATTATGTGATGCATCCCGCGAAAATTGTGTGCCGGACGCCAATTGTCCAGTTTCGTTGTCATACATGGTGTGCGAGCCACAGATCAGCTCCACCGGAGTGATGATACTGCAGTGTCGGATGACGAATGTAAAATAGAGAACCGAATAACCTTTTTAATGGTGACGAGGCGTTTTATCTCGGTCTTCAGTGTGATAACGCATCTGCATTTTGATTCTTAACCGAGGATAGCTGAAGAATGTACATTGTTTTTGTGCTCGTTTGTTACACTTAACCAATAAAAAAAAAATTATGTAGGCACGATATTTCGTCGTATACTCCTCCTCCTCAGTAGTCTTGTACGTTCACTGCCGGAAAGAGGCCTCTATAATACCACATTTAGCAATTAGGCACGATATAAACAAGTAGATTGGAGATCATAGTACTGGACACATTTGGCGCTGTTTTTCGTTGTCATTTCCATATTTAGGCGAAGTACTTTATAAGTAAATGCAATGCATTGGTACACAGTAATAACGCTCTATCGGTTTTATCCTATCCTCTTTTGACACTTAATGACATGATATGTGGTAAGAGCCACACTGCACCTAAATTATGATTGTAACATGAATGGGTTGGCTCGACCAGGGTATAACACAGAATACCAGCGTAAAATAGCACATTAATACTATTTTGTGTGTGTAGAGAACATCAACAATATCATTATTAGAGATGGGCTGAATATTCGTTTCATATTCGGTATTCGGCAGCTTTACAGAATATTCGTATTCGGCTAAATCACCGAAAATTCGTTTAAGTGGTACTCAGTGTCAACTGTATTGAAATGTACGAATCGAGTAATGCCATGTCTTTCATAATTTTACTGTTGAAAGTATATTTTATTTATGGGCTAAATCTACTTGAAATATTATGTTTTTGAGGCACTGTAGATTATTTCAATTATTATATTATGCAAATAGAAAGCTTGATTAAATATTTTTGGAATCAAACAAAGAAACATTACATTAACATATTGTATTATTATATCATACGGGTCGCCATTCGACTACTGGCGTGAACCACTCGTAACACAAGCAATTTAAGCTTAACACGAGTGGTTAAGGGGAATATTAGTAATTTTTATAGCATTGTTAATATTCTTTTTTATAAAAAATTTAAAAAAATTACATTATACATTACATAAATATATATAATAAGCATGTGTCGCCAATTTGCTCGGTACTAGATGATGTAAAACGATGTCGGATGTGCCGCGTGCTTTACGGCAACAAGTTTCGACATAAATTGGTTAGGTACCGAGGTGATCGTGCCAAATAATATTCGGCCGAATATTCGGTTCGGTAAAAATTTTACCGAATATTCGTATTCGGTGAAATCCATATTCGGCCCATCTCTAATCATTATTTCTTAGGTTAATAATATTATTACCCGGCTTAAAAAAAAAGGAAAGCTGACGCTGTAAGTCTAAATTATTTTATTCGTTTTAGTTCTTTCAAGATTTATTCTTTTTAAGTTAATTTTTATTAACTTTAACAACCAGTCCATACGCAAACAGGTCCTTGGTAATACTTGTTAGGTAGGTACCAGACAATATGTATATAATGTACACAATGTCACCCGTATATCTACTCGTTTGATGGTTTGATGGCGACATAAAATGTTTTTTGTAGAATAAAGATGACATACGAGAACACATTACACCTGATGGTAAGTGGTTGCTGTTGCCTATAATGATGATGATGCCTCAGTTAAGAATCAAAATGCAGATGCGTTGTCACCGGTGAGGACTAAGATGGAATGCCTGCGTTTCCAGTAAAAAGGGTTTACGGGTCTCTACACCCATACGAAACGAAGCAGCAGCTACTATTTTACGCCGGTATTCTGTGAGAGCGTGGTCCTTCCCCGGTCGTGTACTACTAATATAACTGCAGCATGGCTCTGCCACGTAAAAATGTATAATTTAAATGTGTAGGATTTTATGCAAATATTGAACTAGAACGTTCGAATTATTTAAAAAAAAACCTCCCTCATTTCAGATTTTGGATGTGCGCTCTTCGTTCTCACATTCATCTATGCAATCTGCGCCGTGAGCAGTTTCGCATTAGAAACTGGCGGAGGAAGGTGTGCTCGTAACACGCTTATTTCTAATGATGAACGGGGTGAGCGACTGTTGCTGCTAGACCACGCAGCGCACTCCAGTTTATTGTCCGCAGCACAACTCAACAAGTTGTCGCATGGCACAAGAACGCAATTCGTTTGAAAACCTCGCAACCGCAAGCTATCCTCATGGGTACTACTGCAATATTATTTTCGGTATAGAATCGGGGGTATGTTCCGAAATACAACCCTAATATACACTGGCCAATGCAAATGACGTCATATATCGACGCCATATTGGTGATTCGTTGAATCGAATATGGTGGAATACGGCTTCAATTAATAACCTCATTCACATTCGACAGTGTAGGTACTGGGTTGTATTTCGGAACATACTCCTAATACATAAGACGTCATTTGCGTTAGACTTCAAATTTTATTATTTTATAGATGCCTACTTAAATCAGAGACCGTGAGCAGTGTTATAAAATTATTAAAATTCCATATTATGTTTTTCAAAACATTAATAGATAATAATGTTATTTAAAATGGAAAGAAATCTAAATAACATAAAGTATAAATATTAAAAGCGCCTAGGTAATTAAATAGTAACTACAGTTGGTATGATTCATTATTCACTTAAAGATTTCGTGATTTGTATGCATTTTTTTAAATTATTCTGTAACAGATTATACAGTATCCAGAACGGGTAGAATATGCTGATACATGTGGTTGTGTTTTGCACAAGCAACAAACTCATACAATAACAAAAAACAGTGTACTTAGCTTGTCATAATTTAAAATAAACGCCGGCTTCCTTCATGCTTAAATTGTGCTAAAAACTAAGCTTGCTGGCGAGATTGTCTATAGGTACATTAAAATACAAAAGTTATAGGTATTTTTTACAAATTTTAAAAAGATTATGTAAAACAATTTACGTCCAATGATTAATATGTGTATATAAATGCTTAGATATGATGATATTTTACATCAATTATTTGTGATATTTTTTTGAGTAAATTAAATTTTAAAATTTATTTTAGTAATAACTAAAAAATGTATTTTTTTCATAAGAGTCTAGACTTTGAGATCCAAAAATATATTCGTTTATTTTATAAGGACAAGCATATTGACAATAGTAATTTTATTTTAATTTTATTATTGCATGTAGGGAGTACTTTTACTCTATAAAAATAAACATAAACATCTTACATATGTACGCTTAAGTAAAATAATTATTTCATAAACATAGTTTTATTTATACAATACATTTCCTAAATAAATCTTCACTCTATCCAGAAAAAATATACAACTTAAATAAAATATACAATATAACAAACTAACAATTCGTTATGATCAAAACTATATTTTTAATTTACAAGGTTTCCATTGTCACGTGATTACGTTTTATAATGAATAGTTAATTATGTTAATGGAAGACTTAGGTAATCTTACCTATTTTAGGACTAGCTTTATAATATTTTATCTACCATTAAACCTTAAAAAATTATATTCACAATATCAATTGAAAATTAAGATCTTTTGGCTCCTAGTATCTCATAACTATTACATCAATGGCACAAATAATGTAAGATCATGAGTGCAAAATACTAATCATTTGTTAAAGAACTTTGTCGAAGTACATCTTAAGTTTGAATTTTAAAGATGATCGGATTATTAAATACTGTTAAGGTATAGTCTGTAGGGATAAAGAATGGGGTTAGAAATGGCAGCGCATCGAGCCAGTGCCGTCAACATGCACAGTACCAATAACGAAAACCCGCTAATAACAGTACATCGTTATAATATATATATATATATATATATATATATATATATATATATATATATATATATATATATATATATCCGGTTAATTGAAACTTTTCTAATGTTAAAATATTTTAAAATAATTGTATACGCAAGTAGGTACATTAATTAAATTTTTAAAAAAATTTGTGTAAAATTAATGTACCTAACATTAATTTTAAAATGAACCCGCTCTGGCTTCACCTAGGTAGGTCTAATTGATGGCTTAATCATTAAAAACCATTTATTTTATTTTGTCAATATTTATATTAAAAAAAAATTCTAACCTTTTGGATAAAATTTTGTCTAGATCACTTCCTACTTACTACTTTCTATTTGTTCGTGAAGTTTTATTACAAACCGTGCCACGAAAGATGAGACTTGACACATCACGTGGTTTGAGTTGCGCATTAGTCGATTTATCGGTCTCTTTAGCGGTATGAAGTCTGAGGCGGGAAAGGCCCGGGCGTCATCGGCGCCGCTCATTCATATTAGTTGCTTCCCGCTCTCCGCGCCCCGTGCACTTACCGCTTGACTCCGCAAGTACAGACAAGTGCAACTTGTGTTTATAAATTTCTACTTTGTTTATAGTTGTGTTGTTCTATACGAGTGAAACTTTGTGAAATCTTGATTATGCCTCGAGGTAAAACATTACGACGACAAAGTAGGAAGATGGTTTACGACGTGTACACCTATATGTCAAAAGAAGCAAAGGAAGGTGTACAAAATTTGAAGCAGGTACAAATGCGTACAGCGGCCGCAACTAGAACATCATTAATTATAGTAAAAAGAATTGTGAAGGAAGGAAACAGTTCCGAGTTACTACCAATTTTCCGCACTCCCGGAAAAAAAAGGTCAAGACCCAAACTTTTAACCGACATAGATGACTTTGACAAAGGAGTGATAAAAAGATGTGTTCACAACTTCCATGTTACGAACAAGGAACTGCCGACCCTTAATAAAATTTTAGCAAAGTTGCGTGATGATATTGCCTTTCGACGTTCTAAAACAAGTCTACGCCGCATTTTGAAAGACCTTGGTTTTCGATGGAGGAGGACCGAAAATAATCGAAAAATTCTTATAGAAAAATCCAATATCAGACTGAAAAGAATTGAATATTTAAAAAAAAGTCAGAAAATATCGCCAAGAAGGCCGTCCTATTGTATATACTGACGAGTCTTACGTGCAATCCACGCATAGTACCTCCAAATCTTGGTCTGATAATTCAGATAAAGGGCTCAAAAAACCAATATCTAAAGGTCAGCGCGTAGTTATTGTACATGCTGGATCTGAAAGTGGTTTCATATCAAACGCTTTACTGACTTTTAAATCGGGGTCAAAAACGGGTAATTACCACGACGACATGAATTACGAAAATTATCAGAAATGGCTTCGAACCCAGCTAATACCCAATCTTCCACCAAATGCCGTCGTGGTAGTTGATAATGCCCCGTATCACAATAAGGAGTATGAATCTGCACCAAGCTCAAATACCAAGAAAGCTGATATGCAATCTTGGCTAACCCAAAAAGGAATTCCCTACACTCCAGATATGCTTAAACCACAATTGTACAAATTGATAAAAATACATAAAGAACAATATAAGACATTCAGCATTGACAAAATACTATCTGAACACGGTCATGACGTACTGCGATTACCTCCATACCACCCAGATTTAAATCCAATCGAAATGGCTTGGGATTCAATAAAAGGTTTATGTGAGTAGTAAGAATGTGCAATGGAACCTCAAACGTGTGATAGAGTTAGTAACAGAAAAGGCAAGCCAAATGAAATGAATGGAAAGCTCTATGTGATAAAACAAAAAAAAAATTGAAGACTTTTACATAGAAAGTGATCACATAATAGACAATTTGACGATACGGAGATAATTATCAGACTAGGAGAAGATTCGTCAGACAGCGACTAGGGGACTCAGGTAGTTCCTCATCGTCATCTGACGAAAACGATAATCTGTTAACTCCTGGAACAAGTAGTGTATTTTCTAGAGTTAATGTGTGCGTACAACGATAATCTTCCCGCTGGTGTATCATTTATTGACAGTGACTAGGATAATCAGCCATTTTTATCTTTAAATTTATTATTTCGTAATAAATATTTTTCAGAATTTTGTTACGTTGCGTTCATTTCAAATGTCGTCGAAAAATCCCTGAATAGATATACAAATTATGGATAATATTTCGTACACAACAGTACCTGCGCAAGCTCCCCACTTCTGACGCTCGCCAAGTCTCATCTTTCGTGGCACGGTCTGTACAATCTGTTTAGTCATTTCAATAATTAGCTCGGACAGATAGACAAACGAAAATTTTACAAATGGCTACTCATATCTCAATGACATGTACATATTTTTTTATTATAATTTATCCAAAAAGCTAATAAAGATTAAAAAAAAAAAAAAAAATTATCCATTAAATAATTGTCCTTGATTATCTTAAATGTAACTAACGACATGTTTGTAGATCCTATCCAGGCAAAGCCTAAACAGATCACTCCTGATAAATAAATTACTTCATATGAAGTTGTTTACATTGCAAACATTATTATATATTCGGAAAAATAACCACACAGATTACAAAATTCTTAAGAACTTTTAAGTTTAACCTTTTTATGTTAAGCTAAATTAAGGTTGGCTGCTACTTTCCCAACTGAATTTACGACTGTATATTTTAAGTAGTAAACTCAGTTATAGTTTTGGCTTTTACAATTCAAAAATGTTTGTAGATGTGCCAACATTTATTTCAGGAACTTGCAGTTTAATGGATTGCACTAGTCGGAGTGACGTGAGAGTCAGAATGTATCAAAGTTCACAAATACTCAAAACTGGACTAATTTTTACTTTGTAGTTAATGGCACTTTGTTATCATTGATTCCAATGACAAGTTGAACTGAAGTTATAGAACGTACGAAAAACGCATATCGCAACGTATTTTCTGCTGCCTTTACTGGGGAGTGTGAGTATATGTATAGTAGGAATAGTGTGCGAGCGAGAGGGTAATAGAGGTGTGGCCATTTTTAATCTCATCCATCAACCGCGCGGGTAGTACACGCAAATGACAGTAAATGGCAGTTTTATAATTTTATAGGTTTGAAGCCATAAAGTAAAGAAGAAGAAGGATTTACAAATAAACATTTAGTTATGTTACTTTTACAATTTTTTGGCCTTTTCAAAATGGTATACAATGATAATTTTTTAAGCACTAAATGGTACTTACATTGCAAATATTTAGATTATAATTTTTATTAGATAGGGTGCTGGTGATAAAATATTTTTCTCACCTTTACTGAATTATTTGAAAGAGATATCTACTTTAAAACTAGCTGCTGATTAGTCAAACATTTTACTAGTCTTATTTTATTTATAACAAATTCCATTTTTAATGTGATGAGTGTTTGATAATCTGAAATAATAAATTTAGCCCCAGCGTCCATTTTCTAAGGGCCTCTGAATACCTTTAAATCCACGAGCAAGTATGAATTTTTCGGATGAGTCTGATCTACTTGCATTTGGTTTCATTACCTTAATAGTTTTATAAAATCTTTCCAAATCCATTTCTAATATGGGTACCTCCTTACCATCCCAAACTTTAAACAATAAATTGCCATTAATTTTAGTGACTAGAGCAGCAAATCTTATTGCCATATAACAAAGACCTATGATTCTATCCTTATCTAATTCTCTTATACCAGTAGCACTTGGAGCCATATCAGATAACACCAGGTCCACTTTCTTACCATTAAGGGCTGCTACTACTTTATCATGTGCTTCAATAGTTGAGAAATCCATGTTGCTCATTATTGTAGCACCCTGTGAAAAATCTTGTTACAGTACTACATACTGAATAACTTAATATAAACGATAACACTAACAAAAACATCAAAATATTTTATTATATGATATGTACATTATTGCCTACAGTCTTATTTAGATCTTTCTATGTAGTGACATAATGCAAGTATAAGTAGTGAATGAGCTTTGTTGCCCTTGTTTTATAAAAAGGATATTAAAAACAATAATAATGTCCTCCAGGTTAAATTTCGATCATGTCGGCCAGTCTCAACAAACACTAACCATCAGGCATTAGATAATAGTGCTCAAGTGGAGCAAGTCGAGGTGCACTATCTATTTTCTTAGTTTCATAATTGGATGGGTAATATGACATAACAGAGAAAGATCGGGTGCAAAAATAATGGCTTTAAATCTTTCCGAGAGATGGGGGTGAAACACTACCAACTTCCTGACTCCAAGCTGCAATGAGAATTTCTTGACAGAAAAATTCAATAACTGATTTATTTTGTGGGCCGATCCAGGATTGAAACTTAATAAGCGCAAAATATGTGTATGAAATATTTATTGGTTTCATTTTACACATTCTCTGTTGTATTTGTTACTACTAGGAGCAATTGCGACAGTTTTGTTGCAATTGCTCTTAGTTTTTTGTAAAGCTAAAGGATCACAGGGATATAATAAGCTTAAACATAATGATTTCTTATATTTACGCGAACACTATACATGATTAAAACTACTTTTACGGATTTTATCGCGTTTATTTTTACTTTTTATTTACTTTTATTTTTAATTCCCGACGTTTCGGGCACTTTCCACACTTTCCTTGGTAGGAATCGGTGTTTTTTCGCGAGGATTTGTGGTCTATCAAATCTGATGTAATGGTTGGGTCCGTCTAGGATATGATCACAAACTGCAGACTTCCCGGAATGTTGATCATATCCTAGACGGACCCAACCATTACATCAGATTTGATAGACCACAAATCCTCGCGAAAGAACACCAATTCCTACCAAGGATGTTACGTGAGGCTATTGAAATTAAAAAACATCCTAATTTCAATAGAGAAGGAGGCTGGGTACTACCACCTGCTTGGGATCCTATAATCAATAAAATTAAAACTAAACCCAAGCATACCACTGCAAGACCTCAGGACATAGTCAGTTCATTTTGCATAGATCGGACCATAAACAATAATTAAAAAAGCTGAAGGTACTCCGGGTTTAACAATGACATCGGGACGTCAGTCATCTCAGTCCCCCGTGACCATGGGTGCTGGAAAGTGCCCGAAACGTCGGGAATTAAAAATAAAAGTAAATAAAAAGTAAAAATAAACGCGATAAAATCCGTAAAAGTAGTTTTAATCAAGCTTAAACATAATTAAAAAAGGGAATTAATTTTTATAACTGTTAATGAAACACTAGGTTATTATGGTCAGATGAATACGTAAATAAGCAGTATTATCGACTTTTTAGCAGATGTTAAGTTAGCATGGCAGTAAACATTAAAGTAATTAAAGAACAAATTGGTATATTATTAATGCTACATTACCATTCCCAAAAATGCTCAAGCATTGTAATCAACAAATGATCAATGTAATGGCTGAATAGGCAGTTAAGTAAGTAAAATGCAGTTCTCAGTGTGTGGTTTTATTAAATTTATCAAAAATATGTAAGCACATATCAAGTAGTACCAGTGATAGTTAACTCAGTTGCACAAAAGGAAAATCTAAGGTTTCTAAATTATTAACAAATTAAAACCTTTCATAATGTGTTATTGAATCAATCTAAGCAAACAAAGATTATCAAATTACTTGATATAATTAAATTTTATTCCTATAGATGCAGGAACCTTAAAATGTTTAAGGTAAATTGTTGTGGCAGCCAATATTCATTACTCAATTTATCACAATGCAAAATACGGAGTTGTGGAAAATAGCTCATCATAATCTAATCTACTTTATCAGAACACAAAGACGCAATTCATTTATACATAACCTTAAAAATAAATCACTCACCGATATAGGAAATATTTGCAGTTTGTCAATTGACAACACTGTGCCTTTAGGTTTACTTTTATCAGCTCCATCAGAATTAGTCTTCTGTACTGCTACTTGAGTCCAAGAACCAGGTGATGCACCAAGATCAACAACAGTCAAGCCGGGAGTAAGAATATTTGTCTTTTCATTCATTTCCAAAAGTTTGAAAGCACTTCGACATCTATAGAAGTAATAAGTTATTCATTTGATTATCACACATAAACATTGACCAACTTTAACATATGATTTTTAAGAAAATAAAAAATAAATACAAACCTGTAATTGTACATTTTAGCTTTTTCAACATATGGATCAGTTTTTTGACGATTTAGCCATTGCTGTGAACTTTTTAAACGTTTAAGGCAGTTAATTAGGAAGCACATTTTGGAAAGTTTCAAGTCATTGTACGCAAGTAAATGCATGGATAACATTATAGGTATCTATAAAATAAAAATATTACAGTAAATCAAAAAGAGAATATTATCACTACGTTTTAGGAAATCCCTTAACATCATACACTTACTGCAACTTATTGCGAATAGAACAAATATGTATTTATATTCTTAGTCTCCATGCACTTACAACTGGTAAATACTTTTCAAGTGCACATTTTCTATCTTTGTTTATAAATATAAATACAACAAAGAGGAGCAAAGACAGAGCTAAAAATTTTGCTAGCTTATCTATGGCCTCTAGTATATACAGTAATCTATGTCTATGGCTAAATCCAAAGACCAAGTATATTTATATTATATGTATAAGTACCATGAAGGTTAGAACCGTAGACAGAGAAACCTATAGACCAATTGACGCCTTCTTTCGCATTCGCACACGAATAGATATATACACGAATAGATATAGAAATAGATTTATGCATGCGTCTTGCATAGAAATGAGACAGAGCGGTGTGATTGTTTGTCCCTTTCTCCGTGCTGTTTTTTTTTGTTTAGCAAACTAAACTTTGCGAAACAATTTTGACAGTTCTTAGCGATCTAAGGAGTTTACAAGTTGGTTTAAGTGATAAAAAGTGTTTTGTGAACTTAAGATTGGTGAATCTTGTTCAGTTCAGTTCTTAAAACAATTAAATTTTTTATCTAAATATGTATAAAAGTCATAAAGATCATTGTATAACCTAAAACGTAAGGATCAGTGCGTTGACAGAGAAACCTAGGATTCTTAGGATTCTAGGATCCTAGGATTCTCTGTCTACGAATCAGTGTTATTCTTACAGAATACAATTAAAAATTACTATGTGACACAATTACTCTCTACCGAAGAGTATAGTAACCGTAGACCGGCTTAGACAGTAAGTTTCTCTGTCTACGATAGTAACTGTCATACACCTCCAACATGGAGGTTAGAGAGAAGGGGAGCGATCGCTATAGAAAATCACAGACCACCCAACCTACGAGGCATGTAACGAAAGGCGACAAATTTCTGTACTTCATCTGCTCAACCAGAGCCTTTATAGTTGAACATGAATGCTACCCTGTTTAGTAGTGACCAGACAACAGACCAGTGCACTGCGTCCTTAGCGCTACAATTTTTTAATATAAAAAAAGTAAAAACACGCCTACTTGCGCATTAAAGTGGTGTGGTATTGATAGCAGGAAACATAATTTCAAGAAGGATAAATTACGTTTCACCGGTAAGTGCAACATTTAATAATCTTAAAACACTAAAAACGTGAGGGTTCAACGTATTCTGGTCGCTATTCTGAGGCTGTCCTTGTCATCCACGCAGTAATATAGTTGCGTCACTGTCTATCAACCAGAGGGACTGCATGTGGCACGTGTAAGTAGAGTTGCCCAAAAAGTATCGATGCAAGTTTGTCGACTATTTATTGTGTAATTCTTTTTTGTGTAGACGAACAGTCATTATATTATATTTGTGTATTGATCTATTTGTAATTATAATTTGCAATTGAAATTATTTTTACAATACCACTCACTTACTGACTGACTGACTCGCTCATTGACATAATTGCACTCGAAGACGGAGCCATCAGGCTACCGCCTGATGATTTATGGGGAGTTTTATCGGTGGGTGGCAGTAAGTATGGAGAAACCCCCAGATCTTCAAAAACTGCTCCTCATCAGGAAGTCACCCTTCTGCCTGCCTAAACTATAGCACTTTGACGAAAACTTTTGCCATTGTAGTATTAAAAGCTTGGTGAAATTTGATCGCCCATAATATTTTTTTAAAATTGCGAAAAATCTGCTTCTCATCAACAGGGAGTGAATCTAATGCATGTGCAAATATGGCAATTAGCCACTAACTTTAGGTAAGCTATTTCAAGATTTAGTTAGGTAATTAACTAATTACTTATCAGAATTAGTTTTGCTTAGATTCCTAGCTGATGGTGATAAAAAAGGGATATGGATCTCGAAAACTATGAGAGACGAAAACTGATTTCCGACTTCAAACAGCACAATATGCTCCAAACATTTTACTCCTGACTGCTTTATGGAAATGAAGGGTCGAAGAAAATTATTAGGTACATGCATCAATATCAACTCTTATATTTGGCTAAATTGGTAATTTTAGTTTACATTTTTATATGACCTTATTTTAGCTAATGTAGATATTTTCACTTGAATGTCACGGCTGAGCCGAAGTAAAGTCATGGTTTTCTAGCGTATGTATAATTATGGTTGTGTATTTCTTAGGCATATTCCGCTCTTAACTGATTTATAGTAAGCGCTGAGCACTATAAATGACATGTATACCTATATTTTTAATAACTTTATATGTATGTAACAGTGTATTTTAGGCATCATTTATTTGTTTATAATTACGTTACGTTACGTAAGTCTCTCTTATTTACGCGTACGATTTCTATGGATATGACACATCTCTAAGTTTGTCTCCCGCGTCGTTTCTTCTAACCTTGACAGACTAATTCAGTTAAAGAATTGTAATGGTTTCATGTCTTGTAGGTTGGGTGGTCTGTGTAGAAAATAGTGTCCCAGAAATATGGACAAACTAAGTGAGACGCTGCGATCACAAAGTTATCCCAATAACAGTCATCTTCAGTCTATGTTTCTGATCAAATGCTAAGCCACTTGCACATCCACGCACAATACAATATTTAAACATTTTTTTAATGTTGTTTATTTTTGTCAAAAATTAAAAAATTACGGAGCACGATATTTTTCTTGCTTTACATTATTTACATTATTCAACTAACTTCATCCACTTGTACTCATAAACAGCTAACTTCGAAGATACCACTTACCGACGGCAGTTCAGGGACAGGCAGGCTGTACTTTGGCACGTAGCAATCGTTCTCCTTCTCTCTAACTTCTATGATCTCCAAACTAAAATAATGAAACACATGTATATTAAGTTTATATTATTACTAGCACTACAGTGGACGCCCACTTTACCTTTTCGCGGGAATTTCAAACCTTTGTATTCTGTAACTTTTAAACATGTTATTTCAGGCATATTCGAGTAATTTTGGCTGAAGCCTCACACAACTATGGTATAAATTCCCATTATTCATCAAAATTACTCGAATTTTCTTGAGATTAGCATGTGGGATAAAATAAAATATAAATATGTATATTTAAGTAATTTTATTTTCTTTTTGTAAATCACAGATTATTATTGATGTTTTTATATTGGACTTAATATTTTTACACATGTTATTGATATGTAATTTAAGTTCTTGTCGGAGAGTTATTCTTCCCAGACTATTAACGTAAGTTTAAATTAGCTAAATTCTGATGGTGAGTACTTAACTCAACCCAAATAAAGAATCAATAGGTAAACAGATCAATAAAACAGTAGTAGCAAGTAAACAGATCAGTAAAAAACTCAAGTCAATATAGTAATAATCCGTATAAAAATGGTCAATAAATTCAAAATATTGAAAGACTTACTACAATATTGTCATAAGTTTTTCGTGTTCTATTGCAGGGAACCTGCGGAAAGTGATAAGAAGGTTTTGTGCATTTTGTTTGCACTTTACACTTAACTTAGTTTTGATTCTGATCACACATAAAGCAAAAAAAAAAAGAATAAATTTATAGGATTGCACCCTGGTGGTAGATAAAGTCGTGGATGCCTTTATTGACTGAAGGCACTGACCTACATATCATATAGTACGCAGTCTTGGCTGTTAACCTACAAAACCGTGTGTGAATTAGAAGCGTCACTGTTGATTGTACCGGGAACAAAATTTGGCTACATCTTGAAGCGAGCATCCATTAAAACATACTACAAGCCGCCGAAGAAGATTAGTCAATTTTTACCATCCATCAAGTGTAATATTCCTCTACAAGATGCAGGAGTGTACAAGTTAGATTATGGATGTGTTCTCTCTTACATAGGTCAAACAAAAAGATCCATAAAAACCCGCGTGAAAGAGCATATAGCTGACGTGAAGCATCGACGCTCCGGGAAGTCTGCAGTCTGTGAACATGTTCAAAATCGTCCCCACCATTACATCAGATTTGATAAACCACAAATCTTCGCAAAAGAACACCGATTCCTACCAAGGATGATACGCGAGGCTAAGAAGATGGATGGGTGCTGCCATCTGCTCGGGATTCTATAATTAACAAAATTAAACCCAAGCCCAAGCATACCACTGCAAGACTTCAAGATACTGTAAGCTCGTTCTGCGTAGATCAGACCGAAAATTAATATTAACAATCTGAAGGTAGCTGGGCTAACTATGACATTGGGACATCAAACATCTTGGTCCCACCCGTAACCATGTGTGCTGTAGAGCACCCGAAACGTCGGGAATATAAAATAAGTTAAAGTAGTAATTAAACGCGATAAAATCCGTAAATGTAGTTTTATTCAACAAAATTTGGAGTTATTTCATTGAAACAATTATAATTTACGTTAGTAAAAGTACGTCGTCTCATTTGCAACCTTTTCATTCGTTTTTATACAAAGCAAAAGAGATGGCACAATACGGCGTTATGTACATTTACTGTTGGGATTTCCTGTGCATTGTTTATAAAAGTATTTTGTGCCTTTTTCTACGTACTTCGTTTCACACTAGGGGAAAAAAACGTTTCATTTATCCTTATAGCCTATAGCCGTATTACATGATACAGCAATTGGAGGCTTGCCAAATGCCGTTATTGATAATTTGCATAATTTCGGTGTATACATTTTTCATTCAAATAGTTTACATGTACGGTAGGGATTGACTCAGCTGAAAATAAATGTTCGATTTGCGTTGTAAAAACGTAACTTTGTTTTGATTTTTACTTTTTATATTAAACTTAGTAAGGAAATTTGTACAAACAAGTTGTCCCTTTTAAAGGCCAAAAAGTAACTGTAATGCGTTGGCTTTAAAATCATATATAAATATATAGAAATATTTTTTGGTGATATAAAAACAGAGGAACTGAGTGCA